ATGAGAATAATGTCAGAAGTTTCCCTCCACGTAATCCCCGTTTAATTACGCTCACCGCATGTGGTTCGATATCAATTTTTCCTTATGACGACGTAGATAAAACGCGTCTTGTTTCCGATCAAATGCATCGCACGCATTAATTAGCGATTCGGTCGACGGAAACATAGTTTAAGCGGTTAAGCCAATTAATGGTTAATGGCCCGGCTTTATTGCCGATTTATAATAATGATCCGCGCAACAATGTGTTCGCTGGACGCGCTAAATAATTTGTAAAGCTAAATCGCGTTAATTCGCTAACAGCACTAAGTCAGAAGCGGTTATCGATGGAAACCGCGATTGTACACCATTTTGCTTTCAACGGATTTAAGAATACTCTTTCTCTCTTTCTCTCTCTCTCTCTCGACTTAAATCCGCATCTCCATATATTTCATTATTCACGCATGTTGAATTTCAACACGCGGAACGAGGTCTCTCGTCTGTTATTTTTACAGGCGAAATACTACTATTCGCAGTTTCACGTGGCAGATTTAGTAATCGCAGTTTTTCGCAATCCAATTGGAATCTCTCGGAGACAGAGGCGATATATTCTCTACGATCTCTCACCAAGGACATCCTACTTGTGTTTATCCTCTTACCTAGTCCTGGTAAAACGTGTTTCACCTACGGAGAGGTGCTTGTGTATCGCGCGGCCCTCTTTTATGTGATTTATCTGTGACTGTAAAATGTCGTCGGTATTTTTTCGCTCGAAAATTAGCGTCTTGCGTCAAACCGGACGCGAATCGTAAAAAGCGAAACCTTCAGAAGTTCTCTTTTTTTCAAAAAAAAAAAAAAAAACAAGAAGCAAATTTTTAGTACTAAACGAGTATTGACTTATCGCTTCTCTATGCAAATAGTGGTCGAGTATATGGTACAAAATTACTTCCTCGCTTCTGAATTTATTATGCCATTAGTAACTTTCTGCATCACTTAGGATTATGGTCACGTTTCGGTATAATAAAGATTTAGGAAGAGTAGTAGTGGTCCATTTAAATGCGAATGGAACGTAATTAACATATGCGGTGAATTTTTTTTTTTTTTTTTTTGTGAGATAGAGTGCGCGAGATTTTCTTCAAAATCGAGAGTCCGCGCGCGTTATTACAACCTTAACGTAAAAGCTCGACCTAATTACATCGGAAGGGCGCGGTATGTCAAGTACGCGAAGTTATTTCGCGCGTGTCACGACACGCCGTCGCAAAGTTATTTCATCAGCCAAAATGAAAACCTTGTTAGAAACCCATTAAAAATTGCGTCCAACGTCACGAGGGCACGCGCGTGTGTGTATATACACGTACTCGTATATTTACACGTATCTCTCGTCTCTTACAATTTATCTTATATACCGGGCTGAAAATTAGCAAGTTCAAGCGTTTATGTTACGCGCTAAATTTAGATATATGCACAAAGTAAATGGCATCGGAGAAATTGCGTGTATATCACCCAGCTGGCCTAATTGTATTCCATGGGAGTGGCACTCGACCCACTCGACTAGTGCTTTTCCTTATTGGCGATGCGACCGCGCAGAAACGCACGAAGCAACCTAAAGTAACATAACGATAACATCACGGGGAAGCACGAAGTGAAGTTTCTCGCTGAAAAGATTCAACGCTCGATTTCCATGTTCCATCGAAAGCTCTAAAAAATTTTTTTTAGAAATACTCATTGAGATCGTTAAGAGACAAAATTCAATTAAAATCGTAAAAAATATTTCATTGTTTTATGAACGTTGCAAAATTTCACATTCAGATTATTTTAACGAAAGTAAAGAAATCTCGTTTGGATTATAAAGAGAAAACGGGAGGGAAATATTAAAATAATATGAGACTCTGCGTACACATATCGTTTCGTTGAACACACGAGTTTGCATTACGTTGCGATTTACATTACGGTGAACAGCAAATATGTGTACGTATAGTTGCTAAGATAAATATCGCAACCCCTCTCGCATCACATCATCATTCTCGTTCATCTCGAATCGATTATCGCAGCGGTTTCTCTCCGGCTTTTGAGAATATTTCGAGGGATCATTTAATCAAGATAAATTTCACGCGATTATAACGTGGCCTAATTATATTCCAAGGGAGTGGCGTTTCATCTACTCGAAGATGTCCTCGCGCCCGTCCGGAAATTCAAGGAGAGGATCTGCGCGGCGCAGGATCGAGCCTGCGTGTTACGTCGCAACGCCAACCAGTCGCCATGGTTACGCGTCGAGTTTTCTCACCCCTCGCGCCATCCCGCCGTGGACCATCCCGGCAAACAGGCCGGGAGGTGATGCAGGCTTTCAACCCTCTATATACCCGCAGCGCCGGGGCGGCTCCCGTGCGACGCAGACGTGCGTTTCGATTGACCTAGGTCGCGTGACAAGCTAGTATTCTCATATCGAACATTTTAAACGACGTCATCGTTATTCCGTATCTTGAAGAGGAAACGTGAGGAAAGCTGCGGGACTCTGCAGCTTCGAGTTGAAAAACAGCTCGGTGAGAAAGAGAGGCAGACAGACGCTCGATGAATCGTGCGTGACCACCACGAGAGAGGGTGCGTACCTTGAAACGCGGATGACCTTGAGCGCACACCTGCAAGCCGGAGCCGCGACAGGTGAATTGATCGGCGCTCGGGAGGGTGGAACTGCGGGAGCTGATCATGCGGCGTGGTTGCGTACGTGAAGGTTATCTGCGACACGTAGTGTCGAGTGTGTTTGATATCTCCTATTTGTTTAGATGTCAAGCCGACAGAAGATTGAAACGCGTGATAAAAATGCTGGGGGATAGAAGTCGTTAAAAAAAGAAAAAAAAGTGCTACACACGCAATATGCAAATGTGGTCACGAAAACAAATGGCAGTGCAAACAGAAAGTGCTGAAGCAATTTTTACGTGCAAAAATTCGTGTTCTATGTTATTACCGCCGCAGAAATAACACACAAAGATACATATGTTTAAAAATCTCTAAATATAAAAATATATATAAAAAAAAATATATATATACATGTTATATATCTTGTTACGAAATTGTACACGTGTGATAACATTAGAAAAAACAAAAAAAACCTCGAAAAAGTTTTTTCCAAAAAAACTTAATTAACTCACTGAATGTGAAAGCATAATTTGTGGTAACTGAAGAGATACACCGATATATAAATATACGCCACAAGATACATACGTAGTACAAAGTACGAAATGCTCAAAAAGTAGTAAAAAAAAAGTTCGATAACGATAAAATTTCTTCCTTTTCATTCCAGTGCGCAATAAAGGTCAAGTGTTTTAATTTACGTGATCAAGAAGGAGGTTAAATACATTGCGCGCTATATCTATATATATACATGCATTTATACGTTACTTGACTCGGGAACGTGCGAGGATATTGATGATCCGCGTCGGGAAAACGCGCGGTTGATCAAGCGCGAGCAGTTTTTCGCAAACGCGAGAAAAAAGAAAGGAAGACGACGAGGCGGTGCCCGGCGCGGCAAAGCGACTATGGCGCGCACACGTGGTGGCTTCGGATATCCAGAATCCCGCGTTGCCGACGATAATTAAGATTAGAAATTTATACGAGAGAGACGGCCTTCTGGAATAATAAACACTCGAACCGGTCGTGCCGGATCTTATTGAGACTTCTTTTTACGAACGTTTTTATAAATATTGTGGAATATACGTTCGTGGAAAACGATTTGAGATTTTTTTTTTCCCCGACTGAACGTCGATTAACGTTCCATTCGAGAACAGACATCTTAATCTTTCGAGAGGATTGTCTTGACGAAGACAAGTGAAAGTTATACTTGAGAGAAACTAAAGACGATGATTCCTACGTCGATACGACGTGTCATTTGCGTTATCGTCGTTGTATAGAAGCGAATTAACTTGATTTAACGCTGACGTAATTTGCCTAATGGTGAATATATGGAAATCGCAAGTTGCATAAAGACCCAAGCACCGGTCTTGCGCACCGATGATGACGAGCTCGAACAGCAGCTCGCTCTCGCGCGTCTGGCTGCGGGCGAATTGCTGCCGTTGCGGCGACACCCGCCAAGATACTACGAACAACAATCTCTACGACGCCGAAACGCCACTGCGGGAGGAAACGGAGACGCTTCTGCACCGCATCGCGTTTACTGTCTGGCACACTGCCCTCCATATAGAAAGCGAGGTGTGTGTTTGTGTGTGTGTGCGCGCAGCAACATAAGCTTGACTTCTTGCGCGTGCGATCCGCAGTAATTTGCATACACACACACATAGTATAATTTTATTATTTTAATCTTATTTGTAAATTTTAGATTTCGGTGCTTATTCAGAAACAACAGGCACAATTCTTTGTTTTTCACCGAATAATAAACTCTTGATTTTATTTCTTTTTTTTTTTTTTGGAACACAGAAAAAGATAAGATATTTTTTCACCAGAGTAAAGACTCGTGTATTTTTCTCCTATAATTGCGACGTCGCGTGTGCATCGCAGCACGACCTACTCAATAGACAAGACACGGTCAATAGACTTCGGCAGGTTTGAATCTCAGCTGATGATGTAACCGGAATTTTTTTTTTTTTTTAGAAACATATTGAATACAACTGTTATTGCGGCACCTGTCGTTGCATAATTTTTTTGTCGAAGCGACAATAGAAAATAACTTATACGCTGTATTATTAATTTCGAAACAATGAACAATAACGTCGCTTCCTTCTTTGACAACGCCTATAATGAGAGTTAGGTATATCCTGAGAATAGAAAGTTAATAAAACAGAGTTATTATCTGTTTGCTGTTTTATGACAGAGTAGAAAGATTAAAACAACATTTTTTCACGGATATTATTTTATAAAATCTGATTACATTGTTTTTGCATATAAAACGAGAATGACGATGTTTATTTTTTGGTCTCGATGTGATTATGCAAAACTGGTAGTGTGTAATTTATTTTTGCACATTATTCATCACGCAAGCGTGTTGATTAACTGTTTTGTTTACTTTTTTATTACAGCACAATGGCGGCTACGAAACGCAACCGAAAAGCGTTAACAACATCACAAGAGGCAAACAGCAGGTAAGGACTTTATATAATTGTTAATTACGTACTTCAGGCTTCTGGTAGACGACCTAAATATATTTTACGTTCTTTACATAATTTATCAACATTCGTGAGGAACTCTCTTCTCATCGCTGATTATCTCTTTAAATATTTAATATAACCAGAGCAAGAGAGAAAGAGAGAGAGAGACGTACACGCATACACACACACATGCGCGAACAGCCGGTTCTTTATATCGATTATACCTTCATTTATTCCTTGCAAGGACGCACAGAGGCGAGGCTACGTTTGCATTCGGAACGCGTGACTTTTGCGTTCTCGTTTGAAATTGCTTGTCGTGTCGGATAACATTTCGCCGCGAAATGATTTGTACGAAATTATTTCTGACTCTCAACCACCGTCTGTTCGATTCTCGAACGCCGTCGTCGCCGCGGGCTTTCGAAACGTGCAAAAACCAGAGGACACGTGTACGACCTTTTCGAAACGCTGAACTCCCCCTCAGGTGTGCTTTCCTTCCGCATTCAAATGGAAATGACGTCTCTTTATGCTATCTTTTTTGACACAACGGAAGTTTCGCCTCGACAGCTCGTTACGCGCGCGCGCGCGACATTAAAATAGAATTACCGCTATACATGTTATATCGCTGTGTTTTCTCGCCGCTCGCAATTTCGGATCTCGTATCGTACACGAGGAATGCAAATTTCTGTAAATAAGCGATGCGAGATTTAATTGCGTCAGCGATTTAATCCGTAAAATCACATTATAAAGCGACTCTCGGCGGTTCGAAATCCGCGATAACCATAATTGCGCGGATCAAAATGAGACAGGCGTTACACAAACCGCTATTTACAACGTCGACGATATAACTTTCTATTAGCGCGCGCGACAGAGAGAGAATACTAATATCCGACTGGCAATTAGCACGCTAATTATACTCGTCCACTAGTTATTTCAACCGGCCGCTATTTTCTCGGATTATTTACTGCCCGTCACGAGAAGCGAATCGATTCTGTAAATCAATTTACATGACAGTAGTATCCGGGAATATTTATCCGCCGCGTGGACGAAAGATCTTTTTTTTTTTTTTTTTAGAAATGACGTTTTTTCGTATTTTATTCGAAGATTATGCGAGAATATATTAATAAGCGTAAGACAATTTTTTTTTACAAGAAAACTTGTACTCTTGTTTTTTTATTTGTTTCAAATGTGTAACGAAACGAATAATATATTTCTCTAGAATTTTGTTTGTTCAGACGACGCTTTTCTGCGTTAAACGACAATGTCGTTGGAAATAATATTCACTAGCATGACAATAAGATAAACATGTCGCAAGATAAATAAATATCAACCACAATATTCGTTCCGATAACCTGTGTGAATGTTGACGTCGAATCGGTAATGTATTCACGAAACCTTAGCTCATTCGCGCACGAACCATCGCTATTATTGTGGAAATATATACAGAAAAAACGACGACGATGTGTCGTTCGCGATCAGTTATTTTTGCGCGAAATGCGGAGAAGGTTGCGCGCTTCTACGATGAGACACTGCGTAAAATAATGTGACATCAAAATAAGTAACAATGATAATTGTTAAAACAAATGTGTAATTTTTTTATACGATTCGATTATTTATAAACGCGTGTGATGTGTTGAATAGTGAGGACAGGGAAACAGTTTGTGTGTGTCAATATTATAAAATACACACATTTACACATTTATCTCTCGACGAAACCTTAAAGCGACGGAACAGGAAAAATTGTCAAGGTTAAATTCGTATTTTTCTTTAATAATGTTAATTAATTGCGTGGATCCGCTCCGGAAGATATTATTCGTGATTACATCGCGAAAAGAATGGTGAAGGTGAGACGCGTCGCGGGCGGTGATGATAATTACACGGAATGGCAATTAGCTCGCAGTAAAAAAAACTGTTGCGCATGTCTGTTATCACGTTCGTTCTTATTTCCCGCGACATTGAAAATTTCCATTGGCGTTGTTCGCGTGTTGCGCAGTTTCACCCGCCGTACAAGAAGCTCATTACATACACAAAACCGACACTGATGATATATTTTCTAAACCTGATAATATATTTTCTACCGGATTCATTAGCGTGCAATCTGAGGTGTCATTTTTTATTGACAAAATTATTTTTCTTCTTTAAAGTTGATTTTTTTTTTTTTTTCAAATTGTCATTCAATTGCCGCAATTTTTTTATGACGCGTAGCAACAGTTTCAAAAAAATGTTCGAGTTTAATCAAACAAAAAGAGAACGAAATATTTAATCCAACCACGTCGCCATTATCAACTTTGAAACATAATCGATGAAGAATTAAGCTCACTCGCTCGCGTTTGAGCTCTACTTCAAATTAGCAATTAACTTCGAGCAATTAGATGGATTAACGGTAATTGACATTAGCGGTTCGCCGCGCGTACATCGACTTCTTGGTTCCCATAATTGCACAGAGTTAATAGGAAATACGATACAGTCACAATTTCTGGTTTTTGGATATGCATGTCGTTCGTTTACTTTCATCTTCCAGTTGTCTTCGTATTTTCAATCTTAAATTTATAATATACACAATTTTATTTATATACATATTTATGCGTACATGTAATTTAATAAACTTTAACCCTCTGAAGGTTCTCCGCAATTAAAATTAAACCTTTTACACTTGTCACTGTCACGATGTCTCATGTTTCATTTTCGTGGCAATCCATCTCTCTGACAATTTCGAATTCCGACGTATAATCGTCGAGTTTCTCGATTTTAATCATCCATCCGTCTGTCAAACGAAATTTTAATTTCCAGCGACACATTACGACTTGTTTACGTCGACAGGCAATATTCTCGTTTCGCGATTTCCAAGCTAAACGAAACCGCGAGAAAGGTAGCCTCGTCCGCGATTCCGGCGAGAAGGAGGACTTGGGGCGGTTTTCGCGCAGCGACAGCTGCGGTAGGACCGCGCCACGTAATAGCAATTTCACACGTGAGCCTGAACGGCCGAAGGGATTTATGAGCGGGTGGGTGTATGTAGACCTGACTGTATGGTTCCGCGAGAAAACGAACTCGCGGCGTTATGATCCCATAAAGCCAAGTATTTTTAGAGGTGCCCGTCTCTCGGCTCTTGTTCTCTCGCCTGGGTCATTTTAATCTTTTTTTTTTCCTCTTTCCGTGACGCTCGTTCATTGTTACTCTCGCCCAGTATATTTCTGGGACTTGTACGTGAGCGAGGTCCGATGGATTCGTTTTCTTTTCTTTTCTGTGTGTTGCGTCCACCTTCACCTTTTCAGCTGCGTTTCGAATACAAATAACTTCTTTCTGCGCATTTTTTTTTTTTTTTTTTTTTACTCTTTTATTTCTTTCTACGTTCTTCGTTTATTGCAATGCATACTTTGATTTCCGTGAACACACACCCACACACACGGACGCGCAAATATATCGCGGGACTTATAAAGGTAACAGAGTCACAAGCGACGTATGCATAAGTATGTCACACGCGTCTTGATTCTGCTGAGCCGTAATTACAACACCGCCGGTCCGACGGTGTACAAAGGCAGACAGGCTCGGGTCTTCAAAGCGTTTCAAAGAGCCGGGACGGAGAATCGCTGAGTACGATAGTAGCGGAAATTACGCGCACGTTGATACACACAGGAGAAGCCAACTTGTCGGGATTGCATTACGTCTGTTGAACAGCGAATTATCTACAATTCGGATAAAATTTTCCCGCGAGAGGGAAGAACGACGCGCTTTCAAAGGCAGATAACGCAAACACGGTGCGCGATCGCGGCGCGGCATAAATCACGCGAATAATTTTAACAAGCACCATCAATAACGAGGTATCTCGGCGGCGATAGTACGTCCCGACTGGTTGGGACCCTACAAATGACCCTCGGCCAACCTACCTACTACAACGAGGTACACGGATGCTGCCGCCCCGAGGCGGGGAAGAAACGTGCGCAAAAACACGAGGTACACATCCGGCTCGTTTGCGCGCCTGTGAGTGCTCCGTGTAATTTTCGCACGTTCTCGCGCGCGCGACAAATCATTCCGCGGGCGTCTCGAGTCCTGTGGTCATCCGTATATTGAGACGAGCATACAGATCGCGGCTCGATTCGCGACTAGCGTGACTATTCGGTGGGAAACGAAGTCACGCTATACGCGCGAATTCGTTACATCACGCACGAACGTCGTCCACGCGCACTTCTCTCCGTTCAACCAGGGCCGCGTTAATGCGTTGAGACAAGAAACGCGCGCGTTAAAAGCATAATCAAGAAGTTCGTGATAAAACTTATGCGCTTTTTCTTTCTCTTGGATAATTTACCGAGAGAGAAGAAATAGAAGAAATTACGTCTAAAGATATGCCGCGGTGTTTTTATTCGCAAAGAAAAGAGAGACGAGGAGAAGAGTTGTCATCAAGTGTAAAATATTGCGTGTTTTATTAGCGCAATTTTTCACGACATAAAATGAACATTATGTAATGTATAACGCGGAAGATTTTTATAATAAATATTGCGATTTCAAGCTGATGAAATGTAAATGTACTACATGTAGGTTATCATAGCGCAGTAAATTTTTTTTAAAAAACGAAAAGAGTCGTCGTTAATTACTATTTTCGTAGTTATTTAAATACACGATATTCTATTCGATAAAGAAATCTCCGATTGCCATAGTGCATGTAAAGCAACTTCGATCACGACACGCAAATAAACGAATTGCGTAAAAGTGACGACGACGGCGAACCGGCCCTGGGAGCGCGCGAGCTGGCACACGTCAGACAAACATGACAGAAGGCGGCGCGATTATCTGACAAAACCGCCGACCGGCCACTGGATATTCTTGCGTATCTCCAGGCTGAAACAGACGAAACACAATACCCGGCAGTGTATCGTTCCGCGGCGCGTAACACGGCACATCGCGTTATACTCCGGCGCGTATCTCCGCATCCTTTTGTCGATGGGATGAACGCGCACAGTGTGTATCCCGTTAAGACGTCGGGATTACATGCCGATCTATATTTCGCGTGACGCGTTCCTCCGCTGAGGACAACACCACCATGTCGAAAACCATCGTCGTCAGAATCGTCTACGCGCCGAAGTACTCCAAGGTGAATGGAAAATTAATTTAACATTATGAGAATCGGAGAACGCCGCTACTAATTTATCGTCCGTGTTATGTAACAGCCTCTCTCGGACTTATCAATTATTTCAGCGCATGCCGAGTTACATATGGAGTGATTGCGTGCGGTATGATTGAAATGGAAGCGAATTGGATGTGGATATAACACACATATGTAGATCGTTCCAGAAATTGTTTCGTTCGCAGCAAGGATACTTCAATTACAAATTGATCCTCTTGTTATTAGATTTTTGTATCATCTTTACACAGCCCTTTTGTATTTACCTTCTTTGAAAAAAAAATTTTTTTTTTAATTTTTACATAACGCGTTCTTTAAATATTTATCAAGGGAATATGTTTCTGCGTGTGTTTCGGTGCTTTTTGTGTAAATTCACGAGCGTCAGATTGTACATTTGAATTTATTGAAATTGTACACGAATATCGCGCGCGAATGAGCTCGCTCTGTGTGCCGCGAGAAAACGATGAAGAACAAAGTGATTTTATAGGCGGGAACTGCGGAAGAAATGAGTTTTTCACGGAGAAAATTTGATTGTCCGACGCCGACATTGTTTTGCACGGGGAAAAAAAAAACTAAGTTTTGCGGCAGTCAGAGACAAATCTCGCGGAAAGGTTTTCGGATAGAGAATCGAGTGAAACGGAGCCACTCGCGAAAGGATTTTCCTCGCCGAAACGAATTCAGACGAATTTTATTCGCTACGGGATGATGACACAGTTTCATCGCCAGGAGTAAATCTCGGTTTATATTCCGTCGATGGAAATACGGAGAGGGGAGAGAAAAGAGAGGAAACTTAGAAAGATAAGAAATTCTTCTCTCTCACCGGATTGTCTTGAAAATTTATACAATAATTCTGACGTTGCAATTTAAATTTCTTTATCTACAGAAACTATAATTCTGTCATTCTAGATTTTGCACTATTTGTCTCATACGTTTCTGTCGTCGTAATCGCTTATGATGATCATAATCGCGAAATGGAGCGTCAACCAATTGTTTGGTTTGCTAATATATATAGATATATTTTTGAATGAATCATCGAATTGCAGGTGCAGACGTCAGCGTTGGCGTCAACGCCTGCGAGAACGCCGGGCGTCGGCGCGGATTCGACGATGACGGGATCGGGAAAGGGCGGAGGTCGCGTAACGGAAGTGATGGAGCTCTGTTACGTCACCGAAAGGATCATCGCCCTCTGGTACAGAGAGGATGCGCAGGGTGTCCTCGAACATGCCACGTCCTTACTGCGCGGAAAACACGCCGATAATTACATGGTGAGAAATTAAGTAATTCTCGCAGAGACGAATATATGATTAAGCATGTAGAGTGCGACAATTAACGTTTAAATAATTGACGTTTTAAAAATTTTAGAATAGATATTTGAGAAAGATACAAAAATGAATGTTTTGACACCGTCAAACAGTTTTCGCGACAAATTATACCTCCTGTATTATCTGCTTTTATCTACTTTGACCTCGAAACTTTCAGATCTTTAATTTGTCGTCGCCCGGTCGACCCGGTGAGCCAAATACGAGGGAAGCTGGTTGGCCGCAGGGATTAGCGCCGAGTTTGGAGAGACTGTGCGCCCTCTGCAAGGATCTGGACTCCTGGCTCAATGGAGCTTCTAATCGCGTTGTTGTTTTACACGCCAGGTGAGTAATTGTACATTTAACATTTTCATATTTTTTTTTTTCACGTTTATTCTGATTCATAAACCGAGATATTCAGACGAAGTTATAGATTATAATTAATAAGAGATTTACGGTCGTACTTTTTAACAATGTTGATCCATCACGTGAAAAAGAACAAAATTGTATTGTTTGGGCGGAAAGAAATCATTTTCAAAAGACACAAGAGTTACGCGAGCGCGGTACTATCTTTATACGTACGCATTTATATACAATGGCGACCTAGTTTTTTTTTTTTTTTGCAAAACAGCCAGTGTTCGAACGACCGCGCGGCCACAAAAGCCATAATTTCGTCGTGTTATGTACGTTCACCGCCCTGTTGGAACTACGGGCCCCATAATTTCCCGTTAGTCATTTCCATTCATCGTGAATAATAACGTCATTAGAGCGCGATCAGCCGGCGGCGAAAAATATCTTTTCGTATCTTGCCTTCTCTCGCGCTGAGAACGCAAACCATGACGTTCGCAACGAACGTTAACGTTATCGTTCTCTTCAGGGGCAGCAAGGAGCGGCTGGGTGTGGCAGTGTCCGCTTACATGAACTACAGCAGCATCTGCGGGGGACGCGATCAAGCACTAGACAGGTTCGCCATGAGAAGGTTCCTCGACGACAAGATTGGATCGCTGCAGGTTCCGTCGCATCGAAGGTAATGAGAGAGAGAGAAAGAGAGAGAGAAAGAGAGAGAGAGAGAGAAAGTGGGAAATCAAATCGTGTGCGATGTTACTACCTGTTGACGTGAGACGTTAAAGCTCACTCTATCGTACTCTTGCCAATGATTCAGACAGCATCGTAAAGTCATTTGCGAGCGCGCAATTGCCTCTCGCGCTGCGCGCATATCGCGAAGAGTTCATAAGTTTATTATTTCCTTAGTTCGCAGTCTCGCGACGCGTGTTGCATTTTACGCGCGCAATCACTCGTGTAATTTATTTTAACAGCTAGCAATTAACCACGTCGGAAAGTCTTATCTCGCAAAGCTATTCGTTTATTTCACATAATATTCCATGGTATTCGGTTGATTCGATTGTATCTGATATTTCATAAGCGTAGTCAAATGCACGCGTTTTGGATTTTAATTTTACGCAAATGTATTAACAATTATTATGTTTTTTTTTTAACGCCTTTGTCGCTCGTGCGTGATAATGCGTTAAGAAATTTCTCAAATTTATCTCGCACTTCTTTTTATCTCACGACAAAATTTGCTGTTAATTAGTAATTGTAAATTAACCAACAAATATAATAATCTGCGCTTAGCTGAATTTGCGCACGCAAAAGAGGGTCGTACCCGCGTCGTCGATGCGTGCGACGTTTATTGCGGAACCAATTTATTCTTCTTGAATTTACATCAGAAAGAAGAAGAAGAAGAAGAAGAAGAAGAAGAAGAAGCGTCTTCTAACCGGCTCGCGTTTATTACCACAGCGATCCTATTAAGGACACCTTATGTCCTTGAGTAGTCATTGCCGTCATCCTATTTGTTATTCGTTCTACGCGCCATCGACCTGAAATGTCGAGTTCTCATTATCTAGTCGTCATCATCTTCAATCATCCTTGCTCGTTCTCCGCCATCTTTCGTACTTCCCTGCCACCATTAATCACGCTGATGCCCATCCGATCATTCCTCCATAATGGAATTCCGGAATTTTATTCAGAAATTCCTTGAAATTTTCCTCGGCGTCGTTGATGTTTTTATTTCTTTTTTTAAATTTTATTTTTTACGTTTGCGACTCTATAATCGCTTCGTTCACGCCGTGATTGCAACATTTACCCGCGAGAATAAGATAATCGCGAGACGCACAAGATGGAACTAACAAAATAAGATGATCGGCCGTATTGCCCGCCCGATGTTCTTGTTGTTCGCGAGAAGAGATGTTTATGTCAGCCGGTTTCTATCGCGCGATAGGTACTACGAACCGTTGATCTAAAGATAGCGAGCTCTCATCATCATTATCGGCGGTTCTTATCGTTTACTTCATCGCCATGTCGGCGTGCGCATTCATAATGATCGTACTGACACACGGTTAAGCTTGCAGGCGGTTGTCTCTTTAATCTCGTTCGCACTTACGGGCATCGTGATTTTTCTGTGACTCAAACAAAAATAAAAAATACAGTGTATTTTTTATTTTTTAATTTTTATCGAACTACACCGACAAACCCTCATTAAGACGATTTTAATCACGCGCGTGAGACGAAAGTTGGACGTGCCGCAGTCATTTGAATAATTTATTCATGTGTACATAATAATAATAATATTAAATAACATAATATATTTATGAATGTTGAGCGGAATAAAAAACAGAGGGCAATTAATTACGCAAATGAATAATTAGCGTTTAATTGTTTCCTGATTTTGATCTCGGTGATTTAACAAACTTTCTTTCGCCTCTTCACAATTCCCAACCGCTTCCATCGAGATTTATGCTCGCGGATCCGTTCAACCGGTTTCTTTTCGCGAAAAACAAATGCGACTCGTCCGCGCAGTTTATCGCGCGTATCACGCGCCATCGACCCCAACCGCTGCCGTATCATTAACGTCATCGTCGTCCTTATCGTCGTTCTCGTCATCCGCGTCGCCGTATGCATTCATAATGACCGTAATGAGCCGCGACCGAGGTGTGCCCGCGTACTACGTGACGACTTCCTTAGCGCTTCTTCTTCGTTCTCGTCTTCAACTTCTTTCTTTCTTTCGCATATCGTTCTTACCGTCTTCTTCGCGTGGTCCTTAAACTCTTCCCGCCCCGGTCCTGCCTATCCGGAGTTTCTCCATTAATTCCGCGGACATTAGCATGTCGTTAGCGTGGCCGCGAACACATGAAACCATTAGCGATCTGTCTCTCTTGCGAGAGATATTCTTTACAACGATGTCAAACGTTGGTTGTGTACGTACTTGTATCATATATATATATATACAATATATATCTCTGCGCGCATGTCCGACACGTATACTTCTTCGTGGGCTTTAAGGTTTCCATTGGCTGAACCATCCAAACCCGTCATTTATCACGTCCCGTGTACACTCGCGAATGGAAGAAAAATTTGCTTCTTCGATTTTCCCTTTTACGAGGTTTTTCTTTCTTATCCGTGACAGCATCATCTCGTGCTTTTAACTATTATTTATGATGTTACTTCTTTTTTCAAATCTCGCTTCAATCGATGAAATGTTTATTTCAGTTTTTTTTTATTTTTTTGAGAGTGACGAGCTTAATATCGGTCTCAACGTGGAATTTTTAGATACATCGAGTACTTCAGCGGACTTTTATCGGGCTCACTGAGGATCAGCCAGTCGCCATTGTACCTGACTCATCTGACAGTCCTCGGCGTGCCGCTCTTCGAGCCGACTGGCTGTCGAGCCTTCCTCAAAGTGTACGAAGGACTTACACCGGTTTATACTTCGGATTTGTACTCCGTGACGAATGCGCGCGAATTCACGGTTAATCTCGGCGGGCTTCGGCTGAGGGGTGACATCTTGGTCAAGTGCTATCACAGGGTCTACTCGAAGCAGACTCGAGAAGTCATGTTCTCCTTGCAGGTAAGAACATAGCGAAATAAATAAATTATTAAAATAAAACATTTTTTTAGATGCATATCCAGACAGCAAACGAAAGTCCGAAATATATCTTGAAAAATGCGTCAAAAGACGCATCTTAAATTATTTTAACCATCTTTTAAATATCTTTGCGACGTCTTTCGAACTTTCGCGTGCGCTGAGTAAATATCAATATTATACATAAAACTATAAAATCTGAAGTATTGATTTTTCTCGTATACAAAATTAATAATTAATAATAATATTTATAATTTTATTGTTCAACTTTATATTTGTTTCTGCACATGCTTATGTTGATATTATTGAAATTTACATTACGTAATGATAGTTAAAAGTCCATTTACGTCTATTACGTTCGTTGGACATAAATACATGATCGCAATGATGCATTTGTAATGAGTACGCGTTTTAGCACGCAAATGACGACATAAAATCAGCGGCATAAATAATGACTTATGCAAAATATCTCGTAAATAGTTACAAGGACAAGCGATCTAGATTTGACGCGTTTAAGACAAAAAAGGCGAACGTTTGATTATTTGCCCAGTAGGCAAACAACATCTTGCAGCGCGTCGGTTAACAACTAGATAAACATTATTCTCTTAACGCAGAAGAAAAATCAGTGTACATGTATGTAATGTAAAACTAACAAAAAAAAAAAAAAAACGCGAAAAACATTAATCACACGATAAGTTACATATTAAAGTCTTATCTCGATACAAGATTAAAGCGACAAGATTTATACAAAAAAATATTGTACATTTTGTTTGACTCGATGGAAATCGAGTCATGATTGTTTACGCAAGCCGTTTGTAACGTTTGCATTTGCATATTCGCATCCTGCCGTGATTTATTCGCCGTGTGTCAATATCAATAATTCATGTATACACGCTGTGTCAGTATCGCGCGCATGTTTTTCAATCAATTTTTACTTTGAATTTTTTTTTTTAGCGTTTTTCACTAGAAATTTTCATTATAAATAAATTGAACGTAAATTCTTTAGATAATTGGGAGGAAGTACTTACTTATCTCGCGTGTACAAGGTAAATACGATTTTTTAAATAAAAATCAGACAAAGATTGCGACAAATCAGCTGGTTTACGTAAGTCACTAATTACGCACTGTTCTCGCATCGGCTGTTATATTGTTTCCGCAGTTCCACACGTGCGTGATCACAGAAAACGTCGTGTCCTTCCCACGATCGGAACTCGACGTTGCTTGCGACGATCCTCGATGCCCGCCCGACAGCGTGGTGACACTCTACTTCGCCACCGACGCGAAACGTCAGGACGGTCCGGTGCCGGCTCCGACTCCTGCTGTGCCGCATGCATCAGCGCATCACGATCCCATTCTGCACTGGGACAGCTACACGAATCTCGAAATTAGCGACGACGGTGAGTAGACAATTTTCACATATTCACATATTTTTTGTCTCTTTATTTATTATCATAAACAGAATAACTTTCCATTTTTATAAAAAAAAAAAACAAAAAAAAAAACAAAAACAGATTGTCGAGAAGTCACGAGAAAATAAAATATAAAAAGAGATAACATGCTAGAAACAAAATTTACAAAATACAAAGAAAGTTTAAACAATGTAAGCAGATTACTGCTTTAAGTTACTCAGCGGAATGTTTTAAATTATGACAACGTTTCTATTCTTACTTCAAATTAATTCTCACGAATAGATTCACGTACATATACGATTTACAGATATTACACGCGATTTATATTTTATGCCTCGTGTTTTAAACATTGCTTGTTAAACATTTCTTGTTTTAAACATCGCTTTTACCGAATTATTTGTATTAATATGACATGTAACAACGATGGATGTGTGTGTGTGAATTCGCTACTCGCGCATATAACATCAATTTTCACGTATTAATATCGCATACCGACCTTAGAGAATTATTACGCGTATTAAAAACTTAATTCAGTCATGCTGCGTTACGTTACGTCAACGGAATACAAATGTTCAGCAATATTTAGACAATACGATATATATGTGCGCTTCCATAAACGCCGTTTGAACGTAAAATAACGCAAAGTGACGTTTATGCTACAGTCAATTACTATATATTTTACTCTCAAAGCGCGTTTGAATAAAAAGATTAACAAAATAAATCTATATTTAGATGAACATATATATTGCCACACTACTCATTTGTGTGTGATATTTCTTGTTTACGACGTGAAATTTTACAAGCACGTCTCTCTCTCTCTCTCTCTTTGATAAAGTTAACGATAAGAGTTGTTCATCGCTTAGCATATCGATACCGTGAAATCTGCGACCGTGTCTGAGAGCTCATCGTCGCCGACTAATTCGTACTAATTTTCGTCGTAATGGCACCCAATTAACCTCGATCTGACAGCGAGAGAGAGCTAGTCAGAAATACTACTTGGCCACGACGACGTTTCGCAGCGATGGGAGGAAGGAGAGCTGGCTAGACGTGGCGGTTGGTGGTATAGTGCATTTAGAACGGCTGACTAACGCTGCCGGAAATACGTTTGGCCAAGAGGAGGGAAAATGGCGGTTTATCGCGACGAGGGCGATTTCCACGGTTGGAAATAGATCAAAGGTCGGTCCGACGGATGGGCAAGGTCCATCACATTAAACGCCAAGCACTACCCGTTTCTCTATCCTGTCGTTGTCTATTTACAGTTTTATTTTTCTTCGCCACGACATGATTTATTGATGAAACATGAATCAATTATCTTGACAAATGTTCGTGTGAAGAGAATTTGTTTCAGCATTTCTCTCTTTACATTGAGAATATTGTGATATTATATACAACAACGCAGTTGTTTATGAGATTAAGAGTAAAAAATATTTAGATATTGAAGTTTGCGATTTTTATAAGACATGTTTTATGAGAGAATTTATTGAAATTAAAAAAAAATTACTGAGCATTGTGATATTTACATATATTGAATTAAAAGTATAATTGTTCTGATTTTCTTAAATCTATTTATTTAACAATTAAATAAGTAACGCTAATAAAAGAGTACCGTTAGAATTATGCAAATATTGGTATCGCGAAAAGAGAAAGTACACATTCGTTAAATCGTTATCCCCGCTTAGTGAAGGACAATAAAGGTCTAACGCAGCGATTTGTTCTGTTCGATGTACCGCTCTAATCGAGATTGCGTCACCGCCATGATTCCCTCCAAAAGCGTGCGTTGGCAACGCCGAACGACCAACGCAACCGGAGTCAATTCGTTTCGTTAGCGATCAGTCGGTGGGTTCCAATAAAGCTGTGACCCAAATTGCGCGTAATGCTAGATCGACGCTGTTTGGAACGAAGAGAGTGACGCCGGACGAGACCGCCGGAAAGAAAGATAGAGGGTGATCCGTGAACGGTGCGACCCTGCGACCGAAGGAAGAGACCGGGAATAGATCGGTGGGTGGGTTGGGCCAATTGGACGCCGGTAGTTTAACCGCAATACCGTCGGCGACCCATCTACCAAATGCCCACCCCTGTTCACCGGGGCTCTGAAGGGTGTGACCAAACTGGAATCAATTCTACCTCTCGATAACCGAGCTAGCTCCGCTAGTGAAAGAGATCGTGTACCCTGTCGTTGTCAGGGTGCGATCGATTATCGAGATGCTTTCGCATAATTCAACATCTTGGACTTCTCTCGCATTATCTATCGTTTATTATTTCTACCGGAGAAATGTTTACGATTAATTATGAAAAAGGACCGTTTATCAAATATATATAAAATCTATACGACAAACTTGATAATTTAAAGTTCTTATATGCAAATATCATTTTAAAAAAAATCTCATTTTACTTGTGCCATAAAATTCTCGTTGTCGGATCAAAGTAAATGATTAGTTTCGGATCAATGAACAATTACGCAAACTACATTTACAATGGAAGTTTAATCATACGCTGTGCTTCTAAATTATCTCTCGAGAGATAATATACGATTTCCCAAGCCGTCCTCCTTAATTGTCCCCGCGTTGAGTTCAGACGTTCTAAATCACGCTTAAATCACTCCAGTCCCACTCATGCTGTCAAGTATCGAAACGGTTTGTCGCCGACGGGCGCGCCCGCATCAATTGGTGCTCGAGTCTTCGATTTGCGCCGTTACTTTGTCTAACAATTTAATGCGAGCCGAGATTTTCCTCCCGGCTGGCAACCAAAGACTCTCAAGTCGTATTTCCACGTCGCGAGACAACGTTTACCGGCACGAAGAGCATCGTTTTACGCCGCCGGCAAATCGATGAGTGTAACGAACTCTCGTCGTGACGGAGACGACTGTCGGAAGCGTCGCGGATGCCCACGCTGCGTTCACACGACGGAAAATAAATTTTCTAAACGTGTGCTCGCGCGGAGACTATCCGCTTTAACGACCTGCTGAATTATGGGAGCCCAGCGCGAAAAACTTTTCAAACTGCTTCTTTGATCGGTGACGCGCGAAGTGAGGCGGAAGTGTAATGAATCTCTTCATGTTTCCGCGTAATTTTATACGAAACGGCTCTCTGTGTTTAATCCCCCGAGATGGTCTATTTAAGAAATTGCACCGTGTAAGGGAAAAGAAATTAGGAGAGGATAGGAGGATAAAAACTTAGTAAAATTAAAATTTAACTCGAAAAAGAAAAATTGTGTGATGTGTTGAGAAAAAGTTTATGTTCGCTTCAAGTGAATTTAACTTTGCCATTTTTCCGAAAGTTTGAATATACCGAAAGGAGAAGAAGAGATTTACGAAGTATGTGTACATTTGAATACGATAACCGAGCTTAAACAATATATATGTAGGAAAGAAAGAAAGAAATAAATACATTTTAGTTATACGTCATATCACGTAGTTTAGGAAATGTAACAAAAGTCGTGGAAGCTGCGTCGCGTGAAAAAGGACGGAAAGTCGTACAATATAATTTTCATGGTGGTGGGGAGCATGCGAGTTTATTCTTGGAGTTGAGACGCCATGGATGGGGATGGAGCTTAACAGATTTCGCGCGCGCTTCCACACTCGCAACCTTACTCAGGTTTAGTCTCGATTCTCTCGTGACAGCGCGTGTGGTTCTCCATTTACCGAGTCCGATACACCTGTCATTCGTATCGATGATCTCTGATTGCGCGATTGATTGCGATCGCAACTGTTTTAAAGCAATCGTATAGAATTGTGAACATCAAAGTGGCGAACATTTCGAGTGAGTTTTGAGTTTATATTACGTATTTTTATATTATATATATATATATATGTATATGTATGTATGTATATATATAATATCAAAATCTCGACAAATATCGGTAAAAGTAAGTTTTTTAAACAAGGTTTGTTTTATTCGACTTTGCGACTTAGAAAATATAAGTTAAAATCATTGTTTATAAATACAATACGTTATCACAAATAAATTTCTCAAAACACACCTTTCAACGATCTTTACCATCGCTATATCGCGACTTCGTGCAACAAACGTGCATCCGTCGCGTCTAGCGTTTCGTGATGCTCGCAATTGGAGATTGACCTTAATCTCACCGTCTCTACCGTTAAGGTGACACTCCGCGTAGGATAGAAACTTTTGATCCAAAATCGGCAAACCGGCTTGACCGGGCTACTCTCGCTCCGAGAATCGCCTTCGGAGACTACACCGCGAGAAAGTTCCTGGAAAGTGTGGACCGGGTTTGATCTTTCAGAAAACACCCCATAGTTGGTACTTGGCGGACACAAGTAGCGCGATCTCCGTTTGCCAACGGAATTTCTCCACCAACGTTTTAACGGAAATAGAGAAAAATCAACGATGACCCTTCACTGTTTTCCTACTTTCTTCCCAACGTAGCTTTTCTTGATTACACTGAACTTTTTATCTCATCATTAGTTCTCATAATATTTTCTTTTTGCAAAATTATAAAATGAGTCGATTCTCTTTTCCCGTTCGTCCGGTCGGGTCTTTTGTTTGGGTGCTGCCAAAGAAATTGTGTGGTTAAAACAAGAGGAGAAATTCCCTCGACAGGAATGAGCGAGAGGCGGAGGAGTGCGGACAGAGAGAACAGAGACAAGAGCCCATTGTCTTGTCGTTCGGTTATACGTCTTCCCACTGTTACGTCACTATTGTTTACTCCGACCTCCGTGTGTGTGTGTGTGTGTGTGTGGTTCCCTTCGTACAGAGGCATCTCCCGGCAGTTTTATTTCGCCACTTCGATGCCTATTGTGCCGTGTTTTTGCCCTTTACGGCCGGACATATAGTAAACCAAGAGAAATCGTTTTCTGCTCAGATGTCAATATCGGGATTTCCGGCATCGCTGGTGTCGCGCGAAACGGAACCAACCATTACTCTAAATTTGGAGTACATGTAAGAGTGTATATATATCACGATACACAATCTCTCTTTGGGACAAACAAAGCGATAAATATAAGTTTACAATGGCAGAATCATGAT